CTAAGATGGACACCTGGTATATTGGAATTCAAGGATTTTCTTAACTCTAATGGGCTTGAGGACCTTAGATTCAATGGAATCTTCCATATATGGTCCAATGGGAGCTTTGGATGTGCTAATATCTCGAGGAAGCTGGATAGAGTACTCAGTAATCAAGCTTGGACGACTTCCTTCCCTCAATCTGTGATACCTCTCGGATCTGAGACACGGGTTGATTAGGCCCAGACCCAAACCCGATGGAAATATCAAACAATTAATATTTATAACAAACACAGAATACAAATTGAATTAAAGAAATAAAAATAATAAGCTGAAAGAAACTAGAATAAAAATCCTCAAAATATAATTATTGAAATTCGTTAGTCCAAAACTCCAAAAGTTTATAACTCGGGAATCCATCCTATGGACCCCAAATAAACCCCAAACTGAAACTGTATTCAACTGAAATGAAACATAAAACTAAACATAAAGAGTAGTCCTACGTAGTTGGAAGAATGAGTGTCTGTATCTGCTCTGCATGATCAAACTCTAACCCTGGAACTGACGAGCACCTGAAAAATAAAAGAGTGGGTCAGGCCCACATGCAAGTCCTATTCTACTACAATCTAAACAGGAATCCAATAAACAGATACATCCTAGATAGACTCAACAATATCTAGAGTAGTCCATAAATGTATATATTACACACTATAGGACGGTCACTACTCCAATAGATCTGTCTCAGCCTGAGTAGAGATACCATGCAAATCGCACATAATGTGGTCATGTGTACCTAGACCTACTAGGGAACAGCAATTACTGTTTAGCTATCCATCCTAGGCGATATACACACCCTAACCATGGTCCTGAGACTCAAGCTCATACCATAGCACCATATCATAAATATATAATGTCCATACTCTTAATATAAAATATCACCCATTTGTATTATGGTCAGATACATGTATTACAAATTTATCCTGAAACCAAAGTAGGTCATTCAATAGTTTTATTGATATGACACAAACATGAGTAGGACTTAGTGTTTCGAACTAATCCATCCCCAGAATAGGTAGGTCTTAGTGTTTTGAACTAAACTACTCCTAATATGCCACCGTCCCATACTAGTGCATACACATCCATATAAGTAGAACTTAACTTTTATAATTAATCCAACTTATTCCAAAATAAGTAGGAGTTAGTATTTTAACTAATCCGTCCCTAATATGCCACCGTCCCATACCGGTACACACCATCCTCCAAATAGCATAGTTTATAGAATCACACTATGTATTCAACAACCATTCTCCACAATATGCATCAGTATAATTTAATACATATATATCAATATTAGGTATTCATTATAGGGCCTAAAAATCATATTCCAATTCTTAAAAATGCTAACATAAGTCTAAGCATTTAAATCCTCTAAACCGTCTATAAATTGACATAATTAAAAACAAGTTAAATATCAATTTGTTCCAACATAAGGATGGTTAATTTCAAGTAATCCATGACACTTAAACCGTGGTTAAATATGATTAATAAATATTGCATCACATTTAAGCAATTCTCCAAGTTCCAATGTGTAAACTGATTTCCCATCAAAGTGCAACATGTAGGATTTTCCTAATTTATACTGTCCAATCCCCAAATCCATTTATGAATTAATGTTTCCCTATGATACCATAGGTTTATTACAATCATAAACATCATTTAAAATAATTTAAACCAAGTATAAACACCCTGCACAGTCTAAACACGGCCTAAAACCAACAATACGCAAAACTGGGCGTTTAAAACCAAAAATCCGAACTGAGCAAGCTAAGTTACAACTGAGCAGGCTAAGTTACAACTGAGCAGGCTAAGTTGCTAACTTAGTCGGCTAAGTTGCTAACTTAGTCGGCTCAGTTTCCAACTGAGTCAGCTAAGTTACTAACTTAGTCGGCTCAGTCTCCAACTGAGTCGGCTAAGTTGGTGCTGATGTCGTCTTCTTCGTCTGTTTCAGCCTCTGTAACCCTAAAATTTCATTGCTAAGGCCTCTAAGCTTCAACCTACGTCCCATACGTCCATACTAAATTATTTTAAGTGTTTTAACATGCAAAGATTTAAACTTAAACATCAATTATGCATCAAAAGTTTCAAAATCATTCAAAATAAGAATTATGAAACTAAAATCATACACCCTCTGTTTTGGTCCCAATAAGCATGCATAATTGTTCAATTTTAGCATTAATTAAACCCCTGGAGTCTAGCTAGGCATGCACAGAACATAGATTAAAGGGAAAGAGAAGAATAGAAACTTGCCTTGAGTTTTAGATTTGAAACTCTAAACCAACATCTCTGAAGTTTCCCGTTCACGTCCTACACTGTCGTTCCACCCCTCTGGGGCTCTTGGTTCAACCCAGAAGCAACCCCGTCCCTCTCTGTTTCTCTGCCCTCACAACTCTCTGTATTTTCTCTATTACGTGAGTAGGGTTTTACAAAACCTTTGGCAAACGAATACTTATGTATTTATAGGTTTTATTTGAAACCCTAAATTAAATCCTAAACCAACTACAAGTCGGCCCAAACCCAGACACGATGTATAACATAAAACCCTAATGATTAAACAGCTAAATTACATTTAAATCACAAAATCACATAAATAATTAAAAACGTTATAATATAATTAAGTTAAATGAAAAACAAAATACCACTTAAATAACCAATTAAAATAATTCACTTAAAACAATAATAATAAAATAAAACACAATTTAAATAGACAAGACAACCAAGCAAGTAACCAAAACACAAGCAATTAAACAATCTAATTAGTAAAAATGCACATAAATAATTAAAATAAATTCCAGAACTGTCCTTTTAAAATTAGGGGTATTACACAATGTGAATGCCAATTCCTACCCTAAGGAATCTCAGACCACTCACCTATGATTGTTACCTTTGGATCACTGAACCTTAGAAGAAACATTCCTTTTCAGATTTTTCAACTTCTGGGCTATCAATCCCAACTTCTTGACCATTGTTTCACAAGTTTGGCAAATGGAGGTCCATGGATTAAGGATGTTTAGGCTGGTGCAGAAAATGAGAGCTCTCAAGCAACCACTCAAACAGTTTAACAAGAAAAAATTCAGTGCCATTTCAGAGAGGGTAGCAGCTTGTAGAGTGGATTTACACTCTTGCCAGAGGGACTTAGACACAAACCCATCACAGGACTCACTCAGACTCAGAGAAAAGGAGCTTGATAGTAGCTATCAGAGCTTGTTTTGGCTGAAGAAATGTTTTTCAAGCAGAAATCACAGGTTCACTGGCTTAGGGAAATAGATCAAAACACTTCTTTCTTCATGAAGAGCTTCAATTCCAAAGCTAACAAGAGGAAGATCCTTTCAATCACTGATCCTAATGGTGTCCAACTTCGTGGCCAAGATCTCAAATCTGAGCTACTTAATCATTTCCAGTCTATCCTTGGCCAAAACACCAGCAACTACTCAGGTATTGACTCTATCTCATCAGTGTTCACAAGAACTATCCCATCTCACATGCTTCCCTCACTCACAGCAATACCCACAGACACTGAAATCCAAAACTGCATTTTCTCATTCCACCCCTATTAGAGCCCAGGTCTAGATGGCTATAACTCCTACTTCTTTAAGTAATCTTGGCCAATAATAGGACAGGATGTTGTGGCAGCTGTTACAGACTTCTTCCTCTCAGGTAGAATGCTAGCTGAAATTAATAGCACTTACATTACCTTGGTGCCCAAAAAACCAAACCCAACCTCAGCCAATGATTTTAGACCTATTTCTTGTTGTAACATAATCTATAAAACCATTTCCAAACTTATCTCCACAAAATTAAGCCCTATACTTCACATCCTAATCAGCCCTACCCAAACTGTTTTCATCAAAGGAAGACAAATCTCTGATAATATTATCTAGGCTTATGAGCTATTGAATGGTTATCATAGAAGAAATCATTCTCCCAACTGTGCACTTAAGATCGATCTTAAGAAAGCTTTTGACTCCATTCACTAGCAATTTATTTTGGATACACTACTTTATTTTGGATTTCCCCCTCTTTTCATCAACTGGATTGCTCAATGTATTACTACCCCATCTTTTTCAATATCACTTAATAAGGAACTTTTTGGATACTTCAAAGGAAGAAGGGGTATAAGACAAGGGGATCATTTGTCTCCTTTGTTGTTTGTCTTAGCAATGGAGGTGCTATCATTGTGTGTTAATAGACATATTGAGAGCAATGCTGGATTTTCCTTCCACTGGAGATGCAAGAAACTTTCAATCACTCACTTAACCTTTGCAGATGATATTTTGATGTTTTCTTATGCTAATTTGGCCTCAGTTCAGGTGTTTTTGGAAGCACTTAACCAATTCTGCAGCTTATCTGGTATGCAACTCAATAGAGCAAAATCCAAAGTATTTTTCTCAGTTATGGACAATAGATTGAAGTCTGCAATCTTATCACTGCTCCAGTTTGAAGAAGGGACACTACCTGTAATGTACCTGGGCCTCCCATTATCCTCATCTTCAAGCAATGCTTGAGATTGCTAGACTCTCATTGAAAGAATTACTACTACAGTGGGCTGTTGGACAACTAGGTTCCTATCATATTCAGGAAGAGCAGTGTTAGTCAAGGCTGTTCTTTCTTCCATCCAAGCCTACTGGTCTCATTTATTCATTCTTCCTAAGAAAGTTCTAGATCAGATCAACCAATTGCTTAGGAGTTTCTTCTGGACTGGGGTCGAACTCAAGAAAAGTGCAGCTATGGTTGTTTGGCATGCTGTTTGTAGATCCACGGTTAATGGAGGACTTGGTTTTCAAGACTTAGAGTTGGCTAATAGAGTAGCTAATTTGAAGCACATTTGAAAAATTTGCAAACATAAAGAGAGCCTGTGGGTGGAATGGTCCAAAGTTTATCTCTTAAAGTCAAAGAGCTTTTGGTCAGTTAAAGTAATAAGTTTGAGCTCAGGTTTCTGAAGAAAGCTCTTGGGATTAAGGTCAATGGCAAGGGGTCTTATAAAGCATAAGGTAGGGGAAGAGAAAGATACAAGACTTTGGTTGGATTACTGGCTACCAAATGGCCCAATTGCACTGCAGCTGGGACTCAATGAATTAGAAATTCTTCAACTTCATAATAGCATGCTAGTTGATAGCCTAATTTCTAATAGTCATTGGGTCAAACCTGGCACCTTACAGCTGCACCAGTTCTTTCAAACCAGAAGATTCTTATCACAACTTCAAGAACTGCCTCTCATTACCACAACTCCAGATGTTATTGAATGGCTACCTAGTCCCACAAAGGAGCTTTCTATGTCCCACACTTACAAATACTTTACTTCACCCTCCCCAGTTTTCCATTGGCACAAACTAGTTTGGTTCAAGCACCATATACCTAAGCATAGTCTTATTCTATGGATGGCAGTGAAGGGAAGACTAAACACTCTTGATGCCAAACCTGTCCTCCATAAACACTACACTAACAGCTGCTATCATTGCAATTTTGCTTGGGAGTCCATTGACCATCTCTTCTTCAAGTGTGCCTACACTTCTCGCATTTGGAAGTTTGTTCAGGAAGTAGCAGGATTCTACATTAGGCCTGACAATTGGACACAATTACTGCATTGGTGTATTGCCCACTGGAACTCCTCAGATTTCTTACTACACAAATTACTTTTGGCTGCGGCTGTGTATTTAATCTGGATGGAGTTGAATGCTAGAGCTATAAACAGCATATTAGCCCCATCCTCTAGCATCATAGCTCAGGTGAAGAGTTGTGTTAGAGCCAGACTTGCATCAACCAAGCTCACAACCAGTTATGATTTGAAGAAATCCACTCTATCCAAAAACTACAGTTATTGTTTCAGCAAGGATGTGCCTCCTTTGGTCGTCAGCTTCTGCTATCACCCTAACTCATGGTACTGAGTATGCTAAATTTGGAATATTCATACTACTATTTTGGTGGAAAGTTATCTTGTTGATCATAAGTGTGATTGTCCTTTTGTATTCTATAGTTGGGGTTGCTGTTTTGGAATGGTTGTTTGTTCCTTAGTTTTTGGTTTGTTCTTTAGTTGTTGTTTCCCCTATTTGGGGCACCATGTACATTCTTAAATCTTATATACAAGCTTACCATTTACCAAAAAAAAAAAAAACTTAAGATTGAAGATTAGGATGTGGAAATATAAGTTTGAATGTTCGAGGGATGAAGCTGATAGTGCCATCCCCGACAGTGACTACAATAAACTAATAAGACTTTTTATGAGTGATCGAAAAGCTCTGATAGTATATTTGAAATAAAAGGGATGGAAAAATATTATATTGTACTGCGATTAATGAAGATTACATAAAGGTCCTTCATATAGGAGAAGGTTTGGGGGTAGGTGAGTGATGAACAAGTAACCTATAGATAGTAATATTATAGGTGTAATTATATATGGTAATTTGTAATATGTAAAAAACTGATAGGTAAATAGGTAAACTTATAATTTAACATGTCCAAAACCTTACACTTTTGACTTTGTCATATAATTGTCATATATAACCAATGTCATAGAAACTCTCCACAGTTTTTTTTTTTTAATTCAAATTAAAAAAATAAAATAAAAACAAAGGATATAGAGGATCGTTTTAGTGATCTAATTTTTTTTTAGAGACAAAAGAATTGTGATAAAGATGAGCCCCAATATAAAAGATGTAATATTCTTTTAAATTCAATATTTTAGGATTTGATTTGTTTCTTATTCTTTATGACCCGAAAAGAAAACAGGAAGGAAAAATAAATTCATACCTTTGCTAGGCAGGATCCTTTATTTATTTATTTATTTAGTTAAAGGGTAAGCTTGTATATATGAGAAGAAAGAATGTACATGGAGTCCCTATTAAGGGAGAAGAAACATCAAAAGAGATACCACAGACATGGTAGACCAAAACAAAATACCTAACATGCACTAGTAGCATGGAACAGCCAAAAACAATTTTCCTTACATGCACCAGTAGCACTGCAAAGGAGTTGCAGAGAGTACTGCAAAGTAACAACAATTTCCTCATACTAAGGGATCAGCAAGGTTTGACCACAACCCTGCTGAAAAAGAAAGTGGAGTTGAGAGGAAGATGTGATTCTCTTCAAGTCATAACTGTTTGTAAGCTTAAGTGATGCTAGTCTTGCTCGAACACATCCCTTAACTTGAGCAATGATGCTGGAAGAAGAAGATTTTTGATTCCTAAAAGCTCTTATATTCCTCTCCATCCAAAAAAAGTAGACAGCTGCAGCCCAAAGTAACTTATGGAGGAAGAAAGCACTTGAGGACCAGTGAGATGAACACCATTGGAGAAGATCATTCCAACTATTTGGCAAAATGTAAAAACCCGCAGTATCTTGGACAAACCTCCAAATGTGTGAGGTAAACTCACATTTGAAGAAAAGATGGTCAATTGATTCCCATTCTTTGTTACACAGGTAGCAGGAATTTGTGTAGTGCTTGTAAAGAATAGGTTTGGCATCAAGGGTGTACAATCTCCTCCTCACAGCCAGCCAAAGAATTAGGCTGTGTTTAGGAATATGGTGTCTAAACCACACAACTTTATGCCAAGGAAAGACTAGTGAAGGAGGGTTGAAGTATCTCATTGTGTGCGCCATTGAGAAATTTCTTGAGGGGCTAGGCATCCATTCAACACAATCAGGTTCAGCAGTGGGTTGGGGCAATTCATGAAGATGAGAAATGAACTCTCTAGATTGAAAGAAATGGTGTAGCTGGATGGTGGCTGGTTGAACCCACTAGTGGTTGGAAATTAGGCTATCAACTAGAATATTGTTGTCTAGTTGAAGAATTTTCATACCAGTGAGGCCCAACTGCTGCACCAATGGTCCTTTTGGAAGCCAGTAGTCCAACCATAAGCTTGTGTCCTTTCCAGTCCCCACCCTATGCTTCAGTAGTCCTCTTGCCATATCCCTTAGCCCTAGCAGCTTCCTCCAAAAGCCTGAACTGATGCTAGTAGCTTTAAGTGTCCAAAAACTCTTAGTTTTAATGAGGTAAGTGTAAGACCAAGCCACCCAAAGGCTTTCTAGCTTTGAGGAAATCTTCCAAATGTGTTTCAAATTTGCAACTCTATTTGCCAGTTCAAGATCAGCAAAACCAAGCCCCCCATTTACTTTAGGTCTGCAAATTGCTTGCCATGCCACTTTAGCCCCATTGTTCTTCAGATCAACTCCAGTCCAAAAGAATTTTCTAAGAATTTGATTAATCAACTCAAGAACCTGCTTTGGAAGAATAAAAGTTTGGGACCGATAAGTTTGGAGCTAAGTACTGATTTCGCAAGGACAGTTCTTCCTGCATAAGAGAGGAACTTTGAAGTCCAGCTTCCAACTCTACCAGTGATCCTTTCTATAAGGGTTTGATAATCCCTTGCCCTTATTGAAACAGAAGAGAGTGGTAAACCCAAGTACATCACTGGAAGAGTAGCTGATTCAAATTGAAGGAGGGAAACAATAGCAGCTTTCAATGTGCTGTCAACCCCTGATTAGAATACCTTGGACTTTGATCTATTGAGCTGCATACCTGAGTAAGTACAAAACCTATTCAATGCATCCATTAAAACCTGTAGTGAGGACAAGCTGGCATGTGAGAACATCAGTATGTCATCCGCAAATGTAAGGTGTGTGATGGACAACTTTTTACATCTCCAGTGTACTTAAACATTGGGTTATTCTGAATGTGATCATTGACACATAGAGTTAGAACCTCCATTGCAAGGACAAAAAGCATAGGGGATAAGGGGTCCACTTGCCTAATCCCTCTACAACTTTTGAAAAAACCAAAGAGTTCCCCATTGAGAGAGCTTGATAATGATGGTGTAATGATGCACTGAGAAATCCAGTTGATGAAGACAGTAGGGAAGCCAAATAATTGGAGTGTGTCCAATATAAACTGCCAGTGAAAGGAATCAAATGTTTTTCTTAGGTCGACCTTTAAAGCACAATTTGGAGGATGATTTGTTTTATGGTACCTATTCAATAATTCATGTGCAAGCAGTATGTTGTCAGAGATATGTCTTCCTCTAATAAAGGCATTCTGTGTAGGGCTAATGAGTATAAGGAGAATAGGATTGAGTTTGTTTGATATGAGTTTGGAGATAGTCTTGTAGATTAGGTTGCAGCAGGATATAGGTCCAAAATCATTAGCTGATGAGGGGTTTGGGGTTTTGGGCACCAAGGCAATGTAGGAGCAGTTAATCTCAGTTAGGATTTTCCCTGAAATGAAGAAGTCTCAAATAGCTGCAATTACATCATTCCCCACTACTGACCAAGAATGCTTAAAGAAACTTGAATTGTAACCATCTGGCCCAGGGCTTTTATATGGGTGGAAGGAGAGTATGCAGTTTTATATTTCTAAATCTGTAGGTATGGATGTAAAAGATGGGAGAAGGTGAGCTGGTACAAATTTATTGATGATAGAGAAGAAGGAGTTGATATCTGGGTAGTTGCTATTGGATTGACCAAGTATTGAGTGAAAATGATTAAGCAATTCTCTCTGCAAGTCTTGACCATGAAGTTGATTCCCATTTGGATCAGTAATAAAGTGAACCTTCCTTCTATTTGCCTTGGAGCTTAAACTTTTCATGAAAAAAGAAGTGTTTTGATTTCCTTCTCTGAGCCAGTGGACTTGTGACTTTTGTTTGTAGAACATTTCTTCAGCTAATACAAGGTCATTAAACTTTCTTGAAAGAACCTTCTTATTAACTCTGATGTCATCATTGGCTGGGTTGGAATCAAGGTTTCTTTGACAAAGGAAAAACTCTTCTCTACATGATGCCACCCTCTCAGAGAGGGCACTAAATTCATTTCTATTTAGCATTTTGAAAGGCTGCTTAAGAGCTTTAAGCTTTTGAATCAGTGATATTCGAAAAAAACTGTTGCTTAATTACAATATTAGATTCGGAATCTGTATATTCTGTGGTAAATGTGTTGACTATCATCCAACAATGATCAATACATAGATAGAGATTTCTAATCGTAACTAAATGTTTCATTTTTTCTTTACAAATAAAAAATGGACCAAAGTCGCAACAAGGGTATAATTAAATGTACATTTAGTATTGTTGTTGGACAGCTTAAAATCTCTTTTAATTTGAAATTTTTCTCCCAATTGTGTTTGGTAAAAAAAAAAAAAAAAAAAACGTTGAAATTTTGGCTTAGTAGAAGCAGACTCTATTGTACAAAATGTAAAGGGAAGGACAATGGTAAAGATGATTTTAGCTTAATGAAAGTTATATCCAAAAAGTTAATATTTTGCAAGTGCAAAAAATATTTCTAAAGTATGCTTACAATGCATATCACACTCTTTACAAATTTAATCCCTAAATTGACTAAATTACTTTAGAGATGTGCATTTGGCCCCTAGTGGCATTGCCTGTGGGGTTGATTGGACCAAATAAATACCTAATAACATCCACCTATCTAAATATTGATATTTAATTTGTAATTCAAAGCTTCTCTGTCAGCATGAAAATGACTTGAAATATATATTTTTTATTATAAGAAAATAAATTATATAATAAAAGGGCAATGCTTAGCTATTCACTGGTGAGTAGGGTGAAGCTACTCACTCTTATGTGGTCCAATAACAAAATAACACATTACCTTTAATAATAAAATAATCCATACCTTTCTCTACTTTCTCGAATTAACCATTGAATAAACGTATATAGTGTTTTTAGGTGTGGATTATTATTATTATTATTATTTTTTGTTGAATGGGAAAGGATTAACAATTGAATAAACGTATATAGTGTTTTTAGGTATGGATTATTTTATTTTATTTTATTTTATTTTTGGTCGAATGGGTAAGCTTTGTAAAGTGTGGATTATTTTATTATTAAATGTGATGTGTTATTTTATTATTGGACTACATAAGGATGAGTAGTTTCACCCTACTCACCAGTGAGTAGTTAAGCGTTATCCATAATAAAATGAAAAAGAAAAAGGATATTTAGGTGGAGTATTGTAAGTATGGAAGAGAGATTTAGCTTTAAATAGTTCAGAAATTATTAACCAGAAAATAAAAATAAAAAAACAATTATAATACAATTAGACCCTTTCAGTGTAATAGTTTGATGTAATGTTTAGATTTCCTATTTATCTATATCCATATGTAATCTAATTCGATGTAACATCTAATAACTACTCCTAATATAAATATAAAGTAGATAGTGATTAAATCCTAAAATATTACAAACACACATATATATATATACACACACATGAACTGAATTAAAATATAATAATATATTAATTATTAGCTAGCTTTGGCATTTTATACTTAGATTGTATTGAGTGATTTGGAGGGATTTGGAAAGAAAAGGAAAGAAAGGATAGTAAAAATCTTGTTTGGATAACTTTTAGTGGAAAGAAAAGAAATGATTTGAAGAGATTTGATGGGATAGTTATCCTCATGTGCTATCTTCCAAAAAATGAGAAGATTTTGAGCGAAATGATAGTGAGTAAATAATATTTTCATAAATCCAAAATTACCTTATTATAACATTTAACTTTTTTTTTAGGTAAAAGGATAAGCTTTGATAAATAAAAGAAGAATGTACAAGAGGTCCATTAAGGACATTACAAGCCATAAGCTAAGGCAACAAGTGTTGCCACAAGATTACCAAAGGAGACAGCAAAACATAATACAGCATCTATGCATTTTCTTATACATCGCAACTGCTTTTCAAGAGTGTAAAATTGTTCCACTGAGCAATTCCAAATCTGTTTTCAATATCTCCATTCTCAACATCCATATATCAGCATAACACCATCTAGTCAATTAAGAACCAAGACTGACTATTTGCATATGAACAACCTTGAAGAAACAACTGGTGAAGAGCTTCAAGAGATCCAATCTTCCTAATTTATGAACCATACCTTAGTTTTAGGGATGTAAACCTTGCTTTGATGCAACCCTTGATTAGGTGGATGATGTGAAGAGCTGAGGCTGTTTTGTTCCTGAATGCTCTTGCATTCCTCTCCTGCCAAATGAAGTAGATGGCACTTGAAAGAAGCAGCTTGTGTGTAATGAAATGGTTCTGTGTCCATGTTGCTGAGCACCATGAAATCAGATCTCTCCAATTGTTAAGATTGATGTAAAGACCTGCAGCATGCTGAATGAAAGTCCAAATGAGGCTGCTGTATGGACCTTTGAAAAATAAATGGTCCATAGATTCTTCAGCTGAGAGACAAAGGTAACAGGCATTGGTATAGTGTTTTTTCTGCATTGGTTTGGTATCTAGTGCTGTTAATCTCTCCTTGAGAGCAAGCCAAGCTATAAAACCATGCTTTGGGATGTGGTGTTTGAACCATATAAGCTGATCCCACGCAAAAACCAGAGAAGGAACTGCAAAGTAATCCATAGTGAGTCTGTGAGAGTAATCCCTTGTTGAGCTTGGAAGCCATTCCACATGATCTGGATCAGAGGTTGGAAAGGGCAAGCCACTTATGGTTGAATTCTTTTTCTTTTTTTTTCTTTCTTTTTTTTTTTTTTTTTTTCATTTTCTTTCTCCTATCTTTTCCAAACAAGAATACTGTCATTTCTTTTATTTTCTGTCATTTTCTCTCATAATTTATCCAAATATGAATAAAGATTATTGCTATTTTTTTTTCTCTTATAATTAATAATTTTTTTTTCTTTTCTCTTGTGTTTATCCAAATGAAGCAGCGATTTGATTCTCATGAAATAGTAAATATTCTCAATAACCACAACTATTTTAGAATTTTAAGAACTTAGTAGAAACAACCCATCATAAATGGCACGAATATTCAATTAACAAGCTTCCAAACCCTAAAAAATGTGTAATATTGGCAAGGATCATAAATACATCAATCTATCATCCATTACCTTGCCATTAAACACACACGTGACCACACGCACACACTTCGAAAGTTTATGATGAGAGCCCATGTTCGTGTTTATCATTGTTATTATTTGTTGAAGGATATTATTATAAAAATAATTAAAGTAGATGGGACTCTTTGAACTTTTTGTGTTATTGAAATAAGTCCCAAATAGCAAAACAGATGATAATCTTATTTTATTGATAGGAGTATTTTGTTTCGTTCTTTTAACTTTATTTATTTTATAGATTATTATTATTATTATTGTTATTATTATTATTTACTTAGATAAATACTTTATGTCTATTGAAACTGGAAACACTTCATCTTGTCTTTGAAAGGAGAAGAGGTTTAATTATACCCGGTTAAGCTAATGGCCCAACAGTTCATATCCTCATTGATTGGATAAATGTGATCGATGATATGTATACGTTGATTCACGAATGAAGATGTCAGTGTCAGCTCCAACAATTAAGAAGTTGAAGTCCCGATAAGAGTGTCCTCATCATAAGTTATCCTAGTTAAATCCTTACAAGAATGGAAATTGTTTAATTTATATATATATATATATATATATATATATATATATAAGAATTTAAAAGTCTAAAACACACGACGGCCGGCAGCCTCGGTCAGGTGTCGGATGAGGTGACGCAGCTCATATAAGAAGCATCGCCAGTAAAATCCTATAAGAATCATGGATGAGTACTAATAATAATGCATCCCGATCACATTGTCCCATCTTAATTAAAACCCTAAAGTTATGGGGTCCCTTTCACAGCCTAAGCTTCCTGTTATACACTTCTCTGAGGAAAACTTGAAGCCTGGTACAGATTCTTGGATATCAACACGAAATGAAACCGTGCGAGCTCTTGAAGATTATGGTTGTTTCATAGCAGTGTATGATAGAGTTTCTTTGGAGCTTCACAATTCAATTTTTCAAGCATTAAAACCCTTATTTGATCTCCCCCTAGAAACCAAAATACAGAACACTTCTGATACACCTAATCATGGCTATCTTGGACAACTGCCTGCAATTCCTCTTTATGAAAGCTTGGGCATCGAAAACGCAACAACTCTAGAAGGAGCCCAGAAATTCACTAATCTCATGTGGCCCTCCGGAAACGATTTTTTCAGGTATAGTTTGTCGTTGTGTGCGTGCATGTGTGTGTGTGTGTGTTTTTTTTTCTTTTTTTCTTTCTTTCTTTAGTACAAAAAATTTACAGTAAAGGGAATTTTGGTTTTTGAAATATTAGAAGAAAATTAAAGAAAAAACAAAAAGAAAACTATATAGTGAAAGTTCGTTGTTCCATAATTATTTTATGTGGTAATTGGAACCTAAAATAGTCACTGCTGAGTATTTCTCTTCATGGTATTTCGTTAGAGTACCTTTTTGTTTCACTGTACTGTTATTTTTGTTCTTTCTTGGTCAGTGAAACTGCACTTTCCTTCTCAAAGCTAGTGTCAGAATTAGATCAAACAGTGAAGAAAATGGTATCAGAGAGTTATGGTATACAGAAATACAACGAGTCTCTCCTTGGATCCACTTCTTACCTGCTTAAACCTATAAAATATAGAGAACCCAAAATGAATGAGACTAATGTTGGTATCGTCCCTCACATGGACAAGACCTTCACGACCATTCTTCAACAACATCAAGTTGGGGGTTTGGAGATTAAAACAAAGGACGACCAATGGATTCTAATTGAGCCTTCTCCTTCATCTTTCATAGTCATGGCAGGCCAAGTATGCATGGTGAGTACTCCCTAAATATTCTCTATCTTCTTTCATATCATTATATACATACAATTTTCTTGAATTTCATGGAAAAAGGAAAAAAAATAAAAAAATTATGTTATCGATTTAAACTTGTTGTAATGTTGATTTAAATGCACTTAATTCAATCTGTTTTAAATCCCCTTTCTTATAATTTGCATGTATAGGCATGGACTAATGGGAGAATAGAACCTGCTACTCATCGGGTGATCATGAACAACAAAGAAAGATACTCCCTCGGTCTATTTTCATTCATCAGGGATATCCTCATTGAAATACCGGAAGAGCTAGTTGATGAAACACACCCTTTACAATACAAACCATTTTATCACTACAAATTTCTTCACTACTATTACTCGGATGAGGGGAGGAGACTCAGATCCAAGTGTCCGTGCCCAATCAAAACTTACTGTGGTGTTTGAGACAATTCTTTGGACTACAAGAATTAATATTTGTGATGTGCTACGTACGTGCTGTGTATGTTTAATAATGTTCTTGGTTTTCTTAATATATGACCTGGACTTGTCCAAGTGATCTCATGGTTGCGTGTGTTCTACGGATGCAAAAGTCGAAGTCTATTACGAAGATGTTCATATTGAAAAGGTTCAGGAGTCCATGAACATCTTATGTAAAATTCGTAGCTGCATATGGTTATCGGGTGCACGTTTGTGCTGTTCATGCCTTTGAGGATTTATTGCTGATGCTTTATTGCAGGCTTTGTTAATATTTTAATTGCTGGATTTTATTATTATTTAAGGATTTATTGGTGCATAACACACTCAAACATTTTGTCGTCTGAATCTCAATCTCCACTTTAAGAATTTGAAAAATATCACTATGGTCCTCAGTAATGGAGCCAATAATTCGTTTCAAAGAGCACGAATTAAACAATATATATATATATATATATATATATATATATATATATATATATATATATATTTAAGGGATACAGCAGGTTAACAAACCAAAAAATTAAAGTGTGTTAGAGATATAAATTAACTCCCTCCAACTAACTTTTGCCGGTTCTCAAGAATTAAATCATTCACGGAATGGCAACATCATCATCAATCACACATGCATGAAAAAAACAATTATACAAATTCACGTAACAATTTTACATGATTCACTCAAACTAGTTCTCTATTATGTACTATCTTTATCCCAAAAAAAATGTCTATTTTAGAGAATTGTGAGTCACGGTTTTCAAAAGAGACATTTATTTTGAAAAAGATGGAGTATTAAGTTATAGACAACTATAGATGGCAAAACTCCACAAATTCATTCATAACTCCACAAATTCATGCATTTGGGCTATATTCCCAATAATTACATACTCTTGTGAGTTGCACAATGTGGAATGATTATGGAATATAATAAGGATAATCAACCTAGAGGGAGTGAATATGTTCAACTTGCTCTTTTATCCTATTTTTGCTTAAATTAAATTTTTTGAAATAAAAGTAAATTAATCAAACAACAAAGCAAAAATAAATGCAATTAAGTTACAATGACACTGGATGTTAGTGAAGAAACCAATTGAAAAATTTCGAGGATTTTTGCATTGTTCTGAGCATAAACGATCCACAATGTTTGAAGTAAAGTATACCGAACTTAGACTCATACTCACACCCATTCACTCTACCAACAATCTGCAAATGCCTTGACCCCTTTAAAGTGTGATCTAAACACCTTTCTTCTTCGAATCTAAATTTGTTGTAGAATGAATGAATTATGTTTCCTCTTATCGATATTAATGATATCTTCAAACTCGTACTCTGATCAGAATAAGAACAACGCCCTAAATCACTCATGTGTATAGTATGTATGCTCTTAATGAAAAATACTGAAAAATCTCACAAATATGGCTCTCAATTAAATTAGAATTTCGTATTCAAAAAGCCGTAAAACCCTAAGTGAGAAAATATGTTTTTATAGACTTTTGAAAATCTAATTGAACTTGGAAAACAAGTCAATTTCGTGCATGCCCAATATAGAAGAAATGTACATACCCAAAATAGGAATCAAAACGAACCAGGAAATAAAGTTACCAAAAAGGTTTGAAGGATTTGAACAGGTTCAAGTGGGGCTAAACTGGTTCAAGTTGGTCAGAAAGAATTTTGGGAAAACGACGTTGAAACTTGAACCGATTCAGATGGGGCAGAACCGGTTCAAGTTGGCTAAACTTGAACATCTTGAAAAGCCTTTAAAATTTGAACTGGTTCAAGTTTTACTGAACCTGTTTAAGTTAGGTAGAATGAAAATTTTCTCTAAAAGCCTAATTTTGAACCATCCAAATGTCCTCTCACACTCACGTACCTTCCTAAGGTATTATTCTCATCATCACAGAGTGAATCAAAGAATGAACACGGTCACTCTTTAATTTGATTCCAATCTTGAGTCTTGACAAATAGAACCAAAAACTTACAACTCAATCTAGCCAAAATATGTACAAATTTACATGTCATAACTCTCTCTTTTCCTTAAAACACCCACCCTTTTTCACCCTACATCTTTTTTTTTTCCCTGCTTGCCTTTTTCAGCCAACTTCACCTCTATTTATAAAGTCCTCAAATCTTGAACAAGGATTCCATACTTTTTTTTTAGGTAAGTCAATCTATTGAACCAATGTGACGGCTCAAATTTCAAAGAATCCTGTATGTCAACGAACAACTCGAAAACTGACCAAATAATGAATCCTAGATGCGGAAGCAACAAAAGAGAAGAAGTCTCTAGAGATGAATACTACCTCTAAGACGCCAAATTGACTTCCCGATAAGTCACAGAACTTAAAAGAAGCAAATATAGAAGCTAGGGTTTAAAATGGTCAAAGATGCCACTGGGGGTAAAATGGTTATTTCAAATAGAAATAGATGCTACCGTGCAAACCATTAGATAGACAACGAAAAATTAATAAATTTTGACTCAAAAATCACTTAATTTGGAATTACAACGAAAAAGATATGAATTTTTGAAAATTTACAAAAAAAAAAAAAATTGCCATAATGTGTTACGAGTAATTATTTTTTTGAAAACACTTTATTTTCAAGACTAAAACGGGACTTTTTGGAAAGAGTTTGTGAAGAAACCCTCCCCTAAAAATGAGTCATCTGATCAACCATGGTCCAAACGCAGAATAAAAAGTAACATAAAATGACCAAAATGCCCCTGAGTGCAACATATGTCAAGAAGAAAAAGCATTTGGCTGCGAGCAATTATTTTTTGAAAACGCTTGATTTTTAGGGCTAAAATGGGACTTTTTAGAAAAAGTTTGTGAAGAAACCCCCTTAAAAATGAGTTATCTGATCAACCATGGTCCAAATCAAGAATAAAAAGTAACATAAAATGACTAAAACGCCCCCAAGATAAAACTACGTCAAAGAGATAAAAACATAATATATAATGTACATCATACATTCCATACATAAAAAGTGTTTGGACCTTGACCTCATTACATACAAATTAAAGTAACATCAAAATAAAGTACTTAAATTCATATTACATATCCAAAATGAATCAAGACATACTTCGAAACAAGTTATACATTCACTACAAAAAAAATGACTTTTTACCACGGTAAAAAAGACTTTCTACCGCGATTTTGAACCGTGATAGAAACAGCCTTGGTAGAAAGTCTATTTTCTACCACGATTCCCTACCGTGGTAGAAAGTTTATTTTCTACCACGGTGAGAAACCGCGGTAAAAAAATAGACTTTCTACCACGGTACATAACCATGGTAGAAAGTGTTATATAATTTCTTTTAAAAATAATAATTTAGCCCTTATGAAGCCTCTTTTTTTTTTTTTTTTTTTTTTTTTTTACCACTAGTCTTACTGCTTCACCAGAAGCAAATCCTAAATAAATAAAAAATGGCATCATAACCCAAATAATTTACAACTGATATATATATATAACCAATTCCAAATCATTGTTTTATTAAAAAATTAACCATATACAAATTTGAAAGAAGTACATGATCCACACCTTATATATTTACTTAACCAAAATAAAACAAAAATTCTTCATATCTTCTTGCAACTTCATGAGCCATACAAAAAATATAGCGGCAACAAAAAAAGTAACGGCAACCGCAACCCGCAATCCTAGCTTTGACCTACAAAGATAGTTGAAGTAAGAGAATTAATGTAAAGCAAGTTGTAAAGTTGCCAAAATTAAACCAAGCAAAGCAAGCATTATAATAAAAAACTGCTTTTGGATCTAAATTGTTGAATCTAAATTAACTCATTTAAATATGGACAAGAAAGAGTATGGAACCCAAATGTCTACTTCATTACTTACTGCTTCCTTAACAGCAATCCAGTACAAAACTAAAAAAACTGCTTTTGCTTTTGAAAAAGTACTTGGGATGTATGTTGTGGTGTTTCAATTCTTATTGTTTTGTCATGCTAGCTTGCTTTTGAACATTGCTGCAAAAGCCTGCAAATTATTCTGTGGAGCTCTTAAAAGTTAAAACATCTCCAACCTCCCATTTTTAACCTTTAGCGTTTTACTTTTATTGATAGAAATGAACCCCCTGTTTTCCAATACTCTTTACTGCATCACCCAAAAAGGAAAAAAGAAGAAGAAGTAATTCAATAGTCAAAAGAAACTATAATAATTAATTTCATAACTTTAAATTCAAGTTCTTGACAACATCCCAATGCATTTATTGAGTTTTTTCACTGAGATTTTTATTTTAGATTTACCTTTAATTTGGACACCCTCAAGTAGAAAGGATATATTTTGATTATTTGGTGAAAGAAATTTTCATTTGATATTAGGTACAATTTGGTTTATTGTCCTTTTAATATAAATATAACATTTTAGATTTCAAATTGTAGCTAACATAATGCATTTCCTGACGGGGAAGGCATTTAAGAATCTAATTATGACAGAAAAAGGAAAAAAAAAAAAGAAGACATGGTTTCAAGAGGGCAAGCCTTTTGCCAAATGTGGTAGCAGCTGCACCTGTGTCACGTAGCGCCAATCCCGGGTTCTTTCTCAGGTCATCTCTGCAAATTAACGAACGATGCACTAAAATCCCCGCCTAACCACCTTTAGGGAAAATATGATAGTAAATAACGACAGCAATAACAATAACAGCCCAGTTTTAAAAGAATTAGGTATTATATGCATCAGCATATCAATTAAGATGCTTTCGAGATACATCAATAAAATCTAACAACACAAAAAATGATTGCAAGTTTTGAAACTAGAAGTTCTCGCAGTAGTGTACGTATATTCATGTGGCAAAAAGAGAACAAAATTGTCAGATATCTAGCTGCGTGCATATGTTTATGTGCATCAGGAAAAGGGTTTTGCACTAATCACTAATTTCTTTCCCAGGGATGCAACTGTGGATCAGATCTCAAAGATGCAAGGCACTCTCGAGGGCTCTATTACTGCAGGCAAGGTATTCTGTTAGTGTGACTAAGGGTGGTCATGTGTCGTCTCCAGATTTACTACCCTTTCTTTAAACACAAACAAAATCAAAATCCTCACTTCCTATCTCTTATATTATTGAAACAAGAATTGGTAGCACATCTACTAACAAGGGGCTTGTCAACATGATGCCTTGCCAGTTGACACAACCCAAATTAAGTATATCAGTCAAACACAAAATAAACAAATGAAGCAATTACAAGACAAAAATTTTCACATTGCAATGAACTACAAAAAATGGGGTTGTAATAGATCTCTATTCCTCATCCATGATTGACAAGGAAAACATCAAGTCCTCTACTAGGCAAGGGGTCTGAGACCATTAAAACCTCAGTACGAGGTCGCCCTACAAGTACTAACTTATGAACTTTTAGAGAAACTTGAGAACTGTTTGTTAATTTTTCTGAAATGAAATTGTAATTTAAACCAAAAAATAGTTAAAATTTTCATCTGGTTGACCGTTCTTTTAAAATTATAATATGAAAAACAGAGTTGAAAGGACTCCATTCCAAAGAACATATATAATACAGTATAATAGATATACCTTGTAAAATCACAGGGTTCTTAATGATAGCTCTAGCAATGGCAATCCGCTGCTTTTGTCCACCTGATAAAAGAGCCCCTCTTTCACCCACCTGTTACATCTGATCACATCAGTACTTATATTCTGAATAGGATCACCAGTAAATTGAAAAAACAATATTGCTTTAACTTCATCATTCTTATTGAAACAAAATTACTAGGTAGGTTAAATGATCAACACACACTTGAACCTACCTTAGTGTTCACCATCGATTTCAGGAATCTGGTCAATCCTATCAAATATTCGCAAGGCAGCAACTGAAGCTTCTGTAAAGTACTTGACATCAAGGAGCGCCATTCCCAGTGATCTGCATTAAATTCAGCAAATTTCATGATCAGGAAGACGACAGCAATGTTGCTGAAATCAACTCAATATTTCACTCTTAATGTTCTAAGGATTTTTATTTATTTTTTAATCAATCCAATGCTCCACAATCAAACTGTGAGTAGTTTCAATTGATGTAATAGTTTGGTCTGCACCATCTGGACATGCATTTACGTGACTATAAATTGAATTTGAATGAGACTAAAATAAGAAAGAGGAAGAGGCTCATTTAGGTTAAGACCTTAAAAGTCAAGGAGGAAATCAAAATTTATCAAAGGTGTATCAAGGACAAAGGCAGAAAAGGGTATCAAAGAAATTATGAGGAAACTTGGATTCGCCATGATAAAATTGCAAAAAAGTAGGGGCATGATTCCAGCAACTTTTATGAGCTGTTGCTGCAACTGCCATGCATTCAAGATAGCCAATGTTTATAAACTAGTACATGTTCATATGTTGAGTTTTTTTTTTTTTCTCCGACAATGGTGGTGTCCAGCCTCTTAAAACCCGTCGTAATCCACCATCAAACACGTGTAGAGTCTTCCATCCCACATGCACCAAGCAATTATCGGAAAACTTCCATCAGGTCACAAGATATTAAGGAGTTGGGCAGCAGTGGAGAGCCTTTTAAATCAGGTGACAACATGTCCCTGTTGATAGAAAGAAGCCTCAGAAGGTTGTGGTCCCCCAGGGGCCAGAGATACCTCATGCACATGGCATGTATTCCTCTGTTTACACACACACACACACATATCTATAGAGAGAGAGGGAGTCCTTTTGGATACGATTCCATTTCTTTTACTCAATCTGTTGAGATGATTGCAAGTGTCCTCTGGCTTTTGAATCATTCGAAAACTTCATTTTTGTTGTCTAATTGTGAACGAAACAACAAAATGAATGGAATGTGCTCATTGTGTCTCAGTCTAATCATGGAACACTTATTGGACCATATCAATTTGGTCACGACTGCCATGGATTCATGAGCAATGTGTACGTTTTTCACGCTGTTTTTATTATTGAACTTTTCGAGATTCCATTTAATGTTGTGATTCAAGCTTTAGGTACATTATGCGTATTGTCACTTGACAAAAATTTATCACATTCCACAAGAGTACACCAGATTTGTTGCTCTCTCTTGGTTCTTCATTTATTTCTTTTTCGGTTTGTTTTCAATTTTCAAAAGAATTATATTTTAATTTTCCAAGAAAACAAGACAAGGGGATTTATTAAAATTTATTGGCTGGGTTTAAAGTCGCAAAAGTAGTTATAAATTGATCAACTATTCACGAAACTTACGACTTCATCAATTAAAAAAAATAGAAGAGTACACTGATTCACCTTTTCTGTTCTGGTATCAGTTGCCGAAAGTAACATTAGTTGGTGACATTGCTTTAGTAAAATGACATGGTATCATTGTTTGTGAGACAGTGTTACATGGGTCCTGTGTTTCTGCTTCTTGGGCTTGTTCCATTGGCTTTTTCTGGGCATGACTATGGCCAAGTTCTCAGCAATATCATTCTCTTCTTTGGAGCTCAGAGATCTGGTTGGTTACCTTCCCAGTAGCCAGAAAGTCTAATAGAGAGTTCATTCTGGTCTCAATGATGGCAAGGTTAGCGAGTTGTGTTCTAATTTGTTCTAATACTTCAATTTTTCCCTAAAAGTTTTTTCTCATGTGTCATCAACTAATAGGCTTTTATTGGAAGTCTATTACCTATTATGATCCTTCATTGTTGTGTGTGGTTTGGTAATGTTTGGTTGAATTGTTTACTTTTTTCTCTTCTTTATACTATCACTTTGTGAAATAGTTATTGATTTTAATGATTATTTTTAGTAAATTATTGAAAAAGATCATGAAAGAGGATTATATAGATGGAGTTGCACAAAATATTTATGATAGCATCAATAAAATTAGATGTTAGATTGTAGTTGGTATTATCCATCTTGTTTATTTGACAATGCTTCTATACGTCATCAAAAAGTGGAAAAACTTGTCTTTGTATTTGTATGAATTACCAAATTTTGGATAAAAGCTTGACATATTGTGAGATCCAGTAAACAGACTTTTTCTTTTTGCCATCCTGTTTTACACTGGGATTTTTTTGCCAACATATATACAGAGTGATTATTATTTTGTGTCACAGAATCCTAGTGGCTGTGGTTTCAGTGGTAATATCCCAAGTGAATTAGGCAATCTTGCAGAGCTAAGCTTATTGTAAGAATTGCTGTAACAGTTAATCTCCCCCTCATAATGGGAATCATAGCTTAATATTATTTCCTGAATTCTTTTCATTACTACTCCCTTGGCAGGGCTCCGAACTCAAACAACTTCACTGGTGAATCATAGCTTAATATTATTATTATTTTTTTAACAAAACAATGATACCATGTCATTTTACTAAAGCAATATCACCAACTAATGTTACTTTCCGTAACTGATACCAGAACAGAAAAGGTGAATCAGTGTACCAACCACACCAAAGACATGGACACAATAAGTGTTGTCATTACACTAATCCATTCGAAGTTTTTTCTAATACAAGGAGTTACTAAAGCTAAAAACCCAAATGGGTTTGCTATGTAAACTATAATAATTCGTGTTAAGCCATTAATCACAAATTTATATGAATCCCATATCTTAAAACTTCATGATTTTCACATATCTATAATGCATAAATAAATACTAGTTAGATATAAATACCTCAATTCACGATATCAATTCTTGTTGAGATTAAATCCAACGTCCAGATCCTTTAACTACGAACTAATCTGCAACTCTGATCAACAAGCAAAAGTGGAAACTGGTTTCTCTCTCTTGACCTTTTGCACACATAAAACTTTTACGTGTTGTATTATTAATTGTACATAATTGATGGAGTATATGCACTTTTATAAAGGCAGAGAGATGACCAGTTTTCTTTATAGTAACATAATTCTACTTTCCATCAAAGTAAGGAATAAGAAAGGAAAACAATAAGTAATTACCAAAAAGGTAATTATAAGTTGACCAAAAATAAATAATATTAATTGATATCTATTTACTTACCCACCAAGTAATATGTCACATGTCCAAATCATGTGGGCCACAATTAAATAAATAATCTTACATTCTCCCACTTGGCACATATGATAATTTCTGTAGTAGTTTAGTAAAATAGTCATTAATGTGCAGCATAAATCAGATTAACTCATTAAATTGATCATCATAAATACCATGGTAAATAAATTACCAATGCGAGTCATGGCGGTTATATATTCTTAAATGACACAGTCCCTTCCATGTACCACAACACTAGTAATCTATTCAACATAGTTTATAAATGAGAAATATCAATAATGATCTAACAATAATGTCTTTTCTAAGACTATTCCTATTACCACTTATTAAAGCAATACGTACATGTACTTTAATTAATAGGAAATATCAGAAACACATTTAATCAGCGCAAAATGTCAAATATATATAAGCACTATTTAAGCAATCCACAATTAAAAAATAATCATCATTGACTACATTTAAAACCCATTCTTTCAACATGTTCTATAAATGTCTTGGATGGTAGTCTATTCATTAATGGATTGCAATCATAAGTTGTGTGCTTATAATTTCAATAGACATTCGTTGTTTCCAAATATCTTCTTTAATGATAAAGTATTTCAACTTTAGAATACTTATCATTTTTCATACAAGAAGATCAACAATTGCAGCATAAATTTTCAGCAATCTGAAAACGGTACCCATAACTCCAAGTCCTAAAATAAATTCTGCAACCATAAATTATAACCTCAAAGCATGCTACAAATTAAAATTTCATAATAAACAAAGTAATTATAAATTACTTTGCACTTTTTCATAATATTGTTCCTCCAACCAAATCATGCTACAAATTAAAATTTCATAATAGACAAAGTAATCATAAATTACTTTGCACTTTTTCATAATATTGTTCCTCCAACCAAATCTTCTAGAACTCTTTTAATATATGCTTTATGAGACAATTCTAAAAACAAATCAATGTGATCTATAATGAAATATTTCTATTCCTATCACATAGGATGCTTCATCCACATATTTCATTTCAAAGTTCTTAGAGATAACTTTTAGTTTCATATAATAAACTAAGATCACTACTAACAAATAAAATATCATCAATATATAGAATCAGAAATATAAACTTATTCCCACTAACCTTCTAGTATATACACTGATCAACAGTGTTTTTCTTAAAACCAAAAGAAATAATGGTATCATTAAACTTAATATACCATTGTTAGGAAGCTTGTTTATATCCATATATTGACATCTTAAGTTTACGGACCATGAATTCTTTACCCTCTAATATGAAGTCTTCAAGTTGTTCTATATGGACTTCCTCTTATAAACTCCTATTCATAAAAATTGTATTCACATCCATTTGATGTAACTCTAAATTATAATAAGCTACTAATGCCATGATATTTTAAAAGATTCCTTCTTAAATACTAGAGAGGAGATTTCTTTATAATCTCTTCATTCATGACACTAATCCATTTAGTAAAATCATTACTGTTAATGGCTTGTGAATATGCAACCGGATCCGTATATATCTCACTATATATCAAAAACAAATTCTTGCAGATATATCACATAGTCATCCGGAATAGCAGATCTCCTTTCTCTTTGAGATTGTCTTAATGTTATTCCTTATAATTCTTTTACAATCTATTAATTGGTGACAATCTCATTATAGAGTTGTTGATCATTTAATTATTTTTTGTTGTTATACGGTTCAACAATTGAAGGAGCAATTATTTCCTTATAAGTTATGGATAAAGATATTTGTACACTAACTTCTGAAATGATCAAATTCTTATTTTTATCACTCCCACTAATTTCACTATTCTTAATGAATCTGACATTATCGATTTCAATAATTATCGTACTGTGTTTCGGATAGTAAAACTTGTACCCTTTAGATTACTTAATATCCACAACATTATGGGTAACGAGGAATTACTTAACATACTCTTAACCAATTCCATAAGAGTACGATTATGCCTTACAGCTACACACTTCTGCTGTGGCATGTATAGCAAAGTGTATTGAACACAAATGGCATACATTTCAAGGAGTTTAACAAATGGTTAGAGTATTAACTTGTTTTATCATACTTTACATAATATTCACCACCTCTATATGACCTTATGATTTTCACTTTCTATCTAGTTATTTTTCAACCTCATTTATGTATACTTCAAGAGTACCCACTGCTTGAGATTTTTCATACAACAAATAGATATATCCATATCGTGAAAAATTAACTATAAAGGCGATAAAATACTTTTCTCCTCCAAAAGATGGAACATCAGAAGGTCTACAAATAATTTCAAGAAGCTATGTACTTATTGTGGCTCATTTCTTTGTGCGTTTAGTTTGTCTACCCTTAATACAATCTATACACACATCAAAATCAGTAAAGTTTAGATTCAGAAGAATCACATCCTTTACTAATTTCCCTAACCTTTCACTAGATATTGGCCTAGTCTTTTATGGCAAAGATAAATTTTCTATTAATTGAGCTACGCTTAATTCTAATATTATGATACAAGATCAAAAGGATTTTAATAAATAAACCATCAAATTTGAATTTACAGAAACCATCAACAATAATACCATAACTCACAAATTATTTAAATA